CCTTACCGTCAAAGAAACCGGATAAAGGTTTTGATCCCGGCTCATATGATGACAGTAAGAATAGCATACCACAAGCCACAATGTTTGTCCCGTTGCAAGCTCGTCGTTGAACTTTGGCATGCAGCCAATTTTTGTCCGAAAGCATAATGTAACATGCAGCTGACTGAGCCTGAATCAGATTGATGTTGCTGGTCGCGCAGGGCTTCTGCAATAGTGAGAGCCAAGGGAAGAAGGCTCGTCACATGGCTGTTGCTTGGGCAGTGCTGCGTTTTGTGACTTTTTTGTTGGAGCGGGGTTGACGGAACTTGATGCAACATGTCAAGATGGTTTTTTGCTTCCAACTTAATGGGTTTGCCAATGTTTTCCTTTGTTGCTCGCATAGCATGCTGCGCAACCTGTGCGTTGGGCCCGAGGCAAGCCGCAAGGCTTTGCAACAGGTAGATATGAGGATGATTTGGACAGGGGTGGTCGAGTGCCAGCCAGGCATCATTACACAAAGCAACAGCTTGGTAAATGTACGGTGTGAATGTGATAAAGGCCTGTTTCCATGTCTCATCCACACCAAACAAACAAGATCTGCAGGCTTTGCCTTATTTTGGTTCCATTTCGTTTCCATGCCTCATCTACGAGGCACGCCGCCATGTACACATTGCAAGGCTTGGGCTTCGGGCGGAAACTACGGCGGGCGCGCAGATGTGGGTCAAGACATAATTTTGGAGGCAATCCCGCTCCACCAGTGCAGCGCGCTGCAGTGCGTGTGTCGCCAGCGCTGTGCGACACATGTGGCTTTAAGACAGATGGCCTGTGCGCCTGCAGTTTCAAGGACATGGACCCGTTTGCGTCCACAGCGGCAGTGCTTGCAGTGACTCCGCTGGCGCCGAGTAACACTGGGCAAGGGAGCTTCGCAGAGTTGGAGTTTTCTGCTTGGCCAAAGCTAAGCCAAGGGGAAGCAGTCGAGCTACGAATGTCTCTGCCAAGTCAGCCGGGTCACCACGTGTGGCCCCATTCCATGCGCGTGCTTTTGGATGGGGTGGAGCTGGAGCGAGTGAATCCACCAGACAACCAGCGACGGCCAGATGCCCCTTTGAAGTTGCCGCAGCCGACCAAGGCTGGGAAGCTTGCTGTGGTGTGATGTGAGTTTCGAGAAGTGCTTTCGGTTAAGTGCTGTCCTTACATAGCAGCATTGTCAACAACCTGTTCAGAATGAATCTATGAGCTATGTGTTGCTGGAGATACAGGAACGCGGATGCTAATATGCGAGGTGCTGTGGCTGGTCAGCTTTCTGTGATTCAAGTTGCAGTTGTGATTGCGGGTGACGGCACGCACGCCAGTAATTATTGTTGTCATGTTGTTGATTGTTGTAATGGGTCATCGGCACGACGTTTCCTTTGTCACGATGTCAGGCTGGCGAACATGTGTTTCAACTGTTTGCCGGGGAAGCACCTCGCGGGACGATTCTTGGGTTGCTATTTGAGGGACTGAGGTTTTTTTCAAAGCGCCGAGATTACACCAGGGCTGCAGGGGCCGTGAGCCCCCACAAGCATTCATTTGCATGGGGCTAATCGCTAATCTCAGTGATACGAGATTCTTATGCGTAGTATGCGTGTATTAACTCAGATGATCTTCCCCCGCTTCAAGCGGAGCTTTTGTCCAGTGCGGGGTTTGACGAACTGTAGTCATCAAGAGGGCAAGACGCTGCATAGTTTACTCCTTTTGTTTCATTTCGGCAGTACAAACCTCTGGCATGAGTAGCACCTGCAAGTGATAAAGATTTCAGAGTGTCTGGCCTTCTCAAAGTAATTACACAGCGGCCCAAACTGAGGATACCGAGTGCGGCAGAACCTCACAACTTTGTGATGTGCCTGCTGGTTACGCGTCCCAGGCTCGACCTGTTCACATGTGAGGTCTCAATTTCAGCGTTGAGGGTTTGAGGTTCATTTGGTGTAGAGTTTAATGTTACCATGACAATATTATAAACCCCCCCCAGAACCTGTTTTGCGATCCGGGCTTATGGAAGGGGGGGGGTCTCAATAATAAATGACATGGCGGCGGTAGGACTAGGTAGTGCAGCTCGTAGTACCAGTAGTACAAGTAA